TACTCTGCCTCGGAAGATGCTATAGCTTGCTTTATCGTAAAATTTCCTGACTTGATATGTGTCACGCTAATTGGAGAGTAAATTGTTTAAATTTCATCTCACAGTGAAGAAGGATTTAAAAGAAAAATATTTGTGTGTATGTGGACTTTTGTATGAGTTTTCTCCTTTAATTGCCACAACGGAGCGGAAAGTTGTAGTCAGATTCCGGGTTACAACTTCAGACAGGACAGCTGTAGACTCCCATCCAGCATCACTTACAACTAAAATCTTCTGATCACATCTCTTGTCCTAATGACAAGCATTACAATGCAACCCATCGCTGGTGGTGTCCACCATTAGTTCTGGGAGATGAAAAATAATGAATTAAAGAAATTGGTCAAAACAAGTGGACAAAACACCTGGACAGGACACATTGGGGTATCTCTCCTGTTTTGCTTCAAAGTATTTAAACTAAAAACGTTTCTTTTTGCTTGGCGCACAATTTGCAAATGTTATATATAGAGCTATAAATACAGTAAATTTCTTTTGCAAATTTGCATGAAGGGATGAGGGTAAATATGTAAATGTAACGTTGGACCCAAATGTAAGTATTGAGTTTTCTAAATTCTGCAGTTGGTAAACGGGTTTTCCACGCTAAACCAATGTCAGACGGGATTTCCATTAGTACTGAAATTCAGACTTAGAACAGGCTGGTTTTCAAAAAAAGACTCGAATAAACTTTCATCAGTAGAAGACAAATGAGAACTTTTCGGTACACATTTACGATACTCTTTTTGCTATAGTTGTGAGAGATGTTAACATGATTATTTAGTTATTATCCACTAAGGAGGCAACAAAGAAATTATTTTAACATACGTATCTAGAATTCCAGGGGATTTTGTTAAATTCTTTGACTTTTATTAACATATATTCTCATTTATCCACATTTAAAATGTGCAGCCCAAAATCCATAGAGTTTAGCCTTTTATCTTGAAAACAGATATTCATTCTGGGTGCAACCTTTCAGTTACAATGAGAGGAGAAGACCGTGTGTAGGCAGGACAGGAAGGAGGAGACTGGGGGAAAGGCATGTGTGGGGAGTGAGAAGATGGGAACGGGCATTTGTTGGCACGGAGAAAGGACATGAAGGGTTTAGCATGTGTGGGCATAGAGTGATTGAGGAAGGAGATGGGACAAGGGCCTGTGTTTGGGATGGGAGATAGGGGACTCAGAAAGGCCAACTCTGCCCTGGGAAGAGTTGAGGAAAGAGCGTATGTGAACAGGGAGGAAGGGATGAGTCATGGGGAGGGTGACAGGTAGGGTGACATGGGGGGTGGCGTTGGAGCATGTGTGAGTGGAAGATGGGGAGCATATTTGGAGCAGACCTGGTCACTCTATCGAGCTGGGTAGAATCCGATATTCTATCTAGTCTCTAGAAGATAATGTTAGTCTGTACAGCTTTGTTCCTCTCTCTGAGGCTGGTGGAAAAAAGGCTAATTGTAGTTTGGTTCACGCAACTTTCCATAGTGACTTATGATTGTATATGGAGAGTCATACGGGGTTGTTGGGGACGACAGGCATTACCGATTTTCCTGTTCACATATACACACAACTTAACCGCAACGTTGCTACAACATTGTATGAAAGTAACAAAAATAAAAATATCTTTGAGGTAACTGTGTGTTTGCTGGGTGTGTACATGGAATTGTTCTGAGAGAGAGAAAGAGAGTGGAAGGGAGAGAGATTGGGAGGGAAAGAGAAAAGGAATGAGGAAGCAAAAAATGAACGGAGGGACAGAGAATGAAACGGAGAGAATGAAAGGAAGGAAACTATCAAAATAAAGCACCAAGCCATTACGACTATATAGCACTGGGAAGGGATCAGGATAAGGATTTGGGATGGGACGGGGGGGGGGGAGGAAGAATGGTGCCCAACCACTTGGACGGTTGGGGATTGAACGCCAACCTGCATGAAGCGAGACGGTCGCTCTACCGTCCACTCCAGGTGGACGGTAGTTGGTTGGTGGTTGGACACGGAGAGATTTAGAGAGAGAATGGGAAAGACGGAGGAAGAGAGAACGGGAAAGGTGAGAGAGAGAACTGGAAGGAAGAGGGGAGGAAGAACAAGAGTGAGGGAAGGGGAAAGAACAGGACGGAAGGAGGATGAGAGAAATGGATGACGGGAGGTGGGACACATGAGGAAAGGAGAGAGAGAGAGAGAGAGAGAGAGAGAGAGAGAGAGAGAGAGAGAGAGAGAGAGAGAGAGAGAGAGAGAGAGAGAGAGAGAGAGAGAGAGAGAGAGAGAGAGAGAGAGAGAGAGAGACGGGAATGCCGTAGTACACCATCTAGAATCTACAAACAAAAATTGACTGTCTGTTAAAGGTCGGGACCAGACGCTTGGGGCTAGCCTAACCAAACTTTGCATGGTGACTGGTTTCTGGTTGGGGAGTGCCATAGCCTGAAAGGGGCTAAGATCAAAGCCACTTTCGCCTCTTTCCCCCCCCCCCCCCTTGCAGGAAATAGTAAAGTTCCAATCAATTTCAGCAAAATACCGAACTCAATGTCGTCTAAGATTGATCCAGCATATTATTTTCTTCGTGACAAACATATGTTTGTTTACCACTTGTAGGTCGTTTATTGACGAGCAGTGTTTAGTGAAAATGGAAACAGAGTTAAAGTGGAAGTGATGAAGAGTTGACAAGGTGGTGAAGGAGAGAGAGCAGGTGGTGAGGCGTAGGGATGAGGGTGAAGGGTGGAGATGGAAAGAAAAGGTTGGAATGGAGGAGATGGAATAGAGAAAGTAAAGGAGGTAAGCTGATGATGGATGAGGAAAATGGTGAACAATGACGAAGGTGGTGAAAGATAGTGAGGATGGTGGAACTTAGTGAGAATGAGAGGGAAAATTGTGATGAGTAGGGAAGATTGTGATAAGTAAAGTTCGTGATGAAGGACATGGAATTTAGTGAAGGATACCGATGGTGGTGAATTATAAAAAAAGGTGATGAAGAGTACTGAAGACAGTCAAGAAGAGAGAGAGAGAAAGTAGCACTGAGCAAGATACAGACACATACAGTTTTGATGGTAATATGCATTGAAAATGGATACAGAGTTGAAGATTGTACATAGTGAAGAAGTTTACAGCGATGAAGATAGTATGTGAGGTAAAGATACCTACAGTGATAAAGTCAGTACCAAGTGAAGATATGGTCTCTGTCACACGCGAGCCAAGCCAAGTACCGCCGTCTAGAAGTAGACAGATGAACTCGCGCCTATAATCCTCCAGGGAGACAGACATGGACGGTTTACTAAAGACGAAGAGCTCCATACGAGGGTATTGAAAACCAGAAACCATAAGTAACAACAAATGATTCCCGGAGCATCATCGGGTATAGCCATCACAGCTATATAGCTGCCGAGTGTCCCACTCGTCAGCCCTTGTGTCGTCACAATTTAGTTCAACGTAAACGACATCTCGGAATTTATTATTAGCGGCAAATTGTAATATATTGGGAGAGACAACTTGGAATTTATTATGAGCACCAACTTGGAATTTATTGCAAGCGACAACTTGGAATTTATTGCGAGCGACAACTTGGAATTTATTGCAAGCGACAACTAGGAATTTATTGCGAGCGACAACTTGGAATTTATTGTTAGCGACAACTTGGAATTTATTGCGAGCGACAACTTGGAATTTATTCTTAGCGACAACTTGGAATTTATTGCGAGCGACAACTAGGAATTTATTGCGAGCGACAACTTGGAATTTATTGTTAGCGACAACTTGGAATTTATTGCGAGCGACAACTTGGAATTTATTGCAAACGACATCTTGGAGTCTTAGGTGAACGTCAAGTTGAAGTAAAATTAAAACGACAACTTGGAGTTTATTGTAAGTGACTACATGCAGTTTTAGTTGAACGTCAGTGTGGAGTTGACTCTAAACACCTGTATGATTATTGTAAACAATTTGAAAATAATTTGTTTACTGTACAATGCAACTGGCATGGATGACTGTCTAAACTATTATTACACTGTGTTTACTAAAACACGACGGCCAAGTGAGTTGTTTACACTGCTCTTACTTGAACACCACGACCTCGTGAGTTGTTTACACTGTGTTTACCTAAACCCCACGACCTTGTGAGTTGTTTACACTGCTCTTTCTTGAACACCACGATCTTGTGAGTTGTTTACATTGTGTTTACTGGAGCATCACGACCTTGTGAGTTGTTTACACTGTGTTTACTTGAACACCACGACATTGTGAGTTGTTTACACTGTGTTTACTGGACCACCACGACCTTGTGAGTTGTTTAAACTGTGTTTACTGGACCACCACGACCTTGTGAGTTGTTTAAACTGTGTTTACTTGAACACTCAAGTTTACAACTTGAGTTGTATGTATGTTGTCTATGTTCCTGTGGAACTGTGCCTAACGTGAAGTGTAAAATATTCTTTTGTTCCGGATTACCTCCGCCTTGTGAGAAGGTGAAGAGACTATTTGAATGTGCACCGTAATACCGAAGTGTAAATGCATCCTGGCTACACATACTGCAGGGCCAAAGCGAAATATTATACCAGAGGATCACAATGATAAAGTAATAAACTATGTTAAGGCTTAGATATATGTTAATATTACAGACCTAACTTATCTCATGATACATTTTAACAGAAAAAAAAACATACGAGAGTGATGAGATATTACCACTATTTTTTTTTTTTTTGAGATACACAGTGAGCTAAATGAGATTTGGGTGGTTATTCAAACGGTCTAAAACAATGGTTCACGGATATTTTTACTGTGGCTTTCTGGACGTTAAATTATAATTTTTTTCATACATGATTTCTCATTCTCTCTCTCTCTCTCTCTCTCTCTCTCTCTCTCTCTCTCTCTCTCTCTCTCTCTCTCTCTCTCTCTCTCTCTCTCTCTCTCTCTCTCTCTCTCTCTCTCTCTCTTTCTCTCTCTTTTATGCTTCTTCACCGTACTACTTGCCACAAGTAAGACAGGTGCACTTACAGGTGCTGGAGTCGACGGTGGAGTCGAGGACAGGTGGGTTGACAGTGAACCAGCTGAGCCTCCCACACCTGTCCCGGGCCTTCCACAGTGCTCGTCTCACCTGCGTCGCCACCAACAACAACGTCACCTCACCGGTCCACGCCACCCTCACCATCACCATGAACCGTGAGTGTTGAGGAGTGTAGCCTGGAGGATCTGGTGTGTGTGTGTGTGTGTGTGTGTGTGTGTGTGTGTGTGTGTGTGTGTGTGTGTGTGTGTGTGTGTGTGTGTGTGTGTGTGTGTGTGTGTGTGTGTGTGTGTGTGTGTGTGTGTGTGTGTGTGTGTGTGTGTGTGTGTGTGTGCGTGCGTGTGTGTGTATATGTTTTGCGTTGCATCGTTGAGTGTTAATATGGCTGAGCGTTATGGGTTAATAATATGTAAGGTGTTTTAATTTAGTTTTTTTATTATAGATGCTTAAGCCGTTTGTCAGACAATTAACGTCCCTACAGCCGTCGGTCCTAAAGACGCATTCAACAGTTTCATTAAACTCTTTAATAAAATCGGTCATTTTTCATGTATACATCAATACTAGTCTATACATTAGAATTTGCCTAAGGTTAAAAGAGCATCAGTCAGTTTTTTAAAAGTTGCTCAATGTCAACAAATTTTTTTTGACTAATTGTATATGAAAGGGCTGCAATTGTTCCAAGTCTCAGTATTGTAGCCTTAAATAGATAGGGATATTTTTTGTTTGTTTTTTCAATGAATTTAACACATTTTCAAATCGAAATTACAACCACAAGTTTCAAATGAAATCATTTCTATGACACTTTTCTATCACAATAGCATATAATAAAATTATCTTTCTTGTGGATTTTTTAAAATATGTTTAGTTTTACTAATACAAATAGTCAAAGTTCCATAAAAAATATTCAAATTTTTCATGGTTTATAACTATTATAAAATTAATAAATGAACTTAGGAAATTTTTTTTCACAAATTTGTAGAGACATAAACTCTACATGGAAGGTGTAAGTTTTTTGTAAATTGAATAAAAAATGAAAGAGTTATACGAACGTTTAACTTACTTGAAAATAAATAAGTAAAATATAAAGTCTAAGGTGCTGCCATCTGTGGCTGAGGTTGACATCAACCAATTTCTTGGCACCTTTTCAGATAGGCTTACATGCAATCAGGTGTATAAGTTCCATGCAAATCGTTTGATAAACAAATAAGAAAAAAAATGATTTTTTAACTAATTTTTTTTTGTATAAAAGTAACTATTAAATATTTTTATTATATGCTATTGTGATAGCTGAGAGTCATAGACATGATTTCAGTTGACACTTGTATTTGATGTAAATTTTTCAACCCGTTCTCGCACAAGACAACACATATGACGTAATGCTTAAAGTCAATAATTTGCTTATCAAATAGTACCTATGTGGTATATTCCCAGTTATATTTTTTCAAGGCAATAACTCTTCCTCACATACCAATTTACGTCACATAGTACCTGTTCATTGCCGTAGACAGCAGAATAGTCATGATTGCTTATGTTTTAATGAAAATTGTAGTTTGCCAGTCCCACATGTATCGTGAAATTTACCTACTCTTGTCCATACTCTTAGAATATTACGGATCAGCTACATCCTATTGAAGGCTCGTAGTTTTGTTTTGAGAAATATTAGCTGCTCTCAGTAAATTATAATAAGCACTATAAATTATTACATAGAATAAGAGTGCTTCACCAATCAACATTATATACACTAGATTATGCTTTAAAAATCTTTTAAGAATGTGTTGTAGGAACGTCAACACAAAACGATGTTACGTTGGAATGTCTATGGGGTAAACTACTGCAAACAGGATTGAATCGTGTCAACTACAACTGTAGGATGGGAATGTTGTTGTTGATTTAGGGGGGACGATGATGTAGGATGAATATAGGGTCCACTACAAGCTGATAGGTGGGTAAGGGGTCTATACCACTTGTAGGATGTGTTTGGGCCCACAACTGCTCATAGGATGGGTATGGTGACAACTATCATCCACAACATGAGTATTGGGTCCATTACTGCCTACTGGATGGGTATATGGTCCACTACCACCCACAGGATGAGTATGGGGTCCACTACCACCTGCAGGATAGATATGGGATCCACTACTGCCCACAGGATGGATATGGGGTCCACTACTACCTACAAGATAGGTATGGGGTCCACTACCACCCACAGGATAGATATGGGGTCCACTACCACCCACAAGATGGGTATGGGGTCTACTACTACTACCCACAAGATGGTTATGGATCCACTACCACCCGCAGGATGGATATGGGGTCTACTACCACCCTCAGGATGGGTATGGGGTCCACTACCACCCGCAGGATAGATATGGGATCCACTGCCACCCACAAGATGGGTATGGGGGTCCACTACCACCCGCAGGATGGGTACGGGGTTCACTATAACCCACAGGATGTGTATAGAGTCCGCTACTAACCACAAGATGGGTATGGGGTCCACTACCACCCACAGAATGCGTATGGGGTCCGCTACCACCCACAAGATGGGTATGAGGTTCACTACCACCCACAAGGTGGGTATGGGGTCTACTACCACCCACTAGATGGGGATGGGGTTCACTACCACCGACAAGATGGGTATTGGGTCCACTACTACCACCCACAAGATGGGTATGGGGTCCACTACCACCCGCAGGAAGGGCATGGGGTCCACTACCACCCGCAGGAAGGGCATGGGGTCCACTACCACCCGCAGGAAGGGTATGGGGTCCACTACCACCCGCAGGAAGGGCATGGGGTGCTCTACCACCCGCAGGAAGGGTATGGGGTGCTCTACCACCCGCAGGAAGGGTATGGGGTGCTCTACCACCCGCAGGAAGGGTATGGGGTCCACTACCACCCGCAGGAAGGGCATGGGGTGCTCTACCACCCGCAGGAAGGGTATGGGGTGCTCTACCACCCGCAGGAAGGGTATGGGGTGCTCTACCACCCGCAGGAAGGGTATGGGGTGCTCTACCACCCACAAGATGGGTATGGGGTGCTCTACCACCCGCAGGAAGGGTATGGGGTGCTCTACCACCCGCAGGAAGGGTATGGGGTCCACTACCACCCGCAGGAAGGGTATGGGGTCCATGGGGTCCACTACCACCCGCAGGAAGGGCATGGGGTCCACTACCACCCGCAGGAAGGGTATGGGGTGCTCTACCACCCGCAGGAAGGGTATGGGGTGCTCTACCACCCGCAGGAAGGGTATGGGGTGCTCTACCACAATATAAACAATTGGAACAGACAAATATGGACTGGAGACACAGATGTACTAGCTTAAGGCTTTGAGTCCATTAACAATACTGGAATATTTTAACAAAAAAAGACTATAGTAACTAATATTAATGTGAAAATATTCAAGTGAGTAAATTAATAATTAATTGATAATTAACAAAGATGTCAATTTATGCAACAGTGACAAATTTTAAGTTCCAAGTTTATACAATATTGTGAAATTGAGAGTCTACGTAGTAACATAAATGGGGAAATCATAAATATTTTAAGTTAAGAATCTAATGCGTTTCTGTGTGTGTGTGGGGGGGGGGCAGGGGGGGTTACCCTTGGCAAGTGAGAGTGGAAGGTAACCTTAGAGGTTCTGCCTTCACCGCGGGTGGGGGGGGGGGCAAACTCCCCCTCCAACATTTGGGTATAGTACCAGCTGACTCCACAACATCTCCCCCAGCCTCCAGCTGATGCTTGTAGATGCTTCATCTAACCTCACTTATGTCACACATTAACCTACAGTTCCTGTGATATTTAAACTCATCAAAAGGGCGTCTCACCAATATAAACTGTGTTGGATTTTGTCCCGAAATAGCTATATGCTGATTGGACGTATATGTATGTATGTATGTATGTATGTGTGTATGTATGTATGTATGTATGTATGTATGTATGTATGTATGTATGTATGTATGTATGTATGTATGTATGTATGCGTGTATGTATGTATGTATGTATGTATGAATTAATGTATGTATGTATGAATTAATGTATGTATGTATGAATTAATGTATGTATGTATGAATTAATGTATGTATGTATGAATTAATGTATGTATGTATGTGTGTGTGTATGTATTCCCAATCACGTTCAAGACTGCCCCTCTATCATCCAGTTTAAGAGAAAAACAACTAACCACTACATTATCAACTCATTGTAACTGGGCGTGTATGTATGTACTCACCTAGTTGTACTCACCTAGATGTGCTTGCGGGGATATGGCTCTGGCTCTTTGGTCCCGCCTCTCAACCGTCAATAAACAGGTGTACAGGTTCCTGAGATTATTGGGCTCTATCATATCTACACTTGAAACTGTGTATGGAGTCAGCCTCCACCACATCACTTCCTAATGCATTCCATTTCTCAACCACTCTGACACTAAAAAGGTTCTTTCTAATATCTTTGTGGCTCATTTGGGCACTCATTTTCCACCTGTGTCACCTAGTGCGTGTGCCCCTTGTGTTAAATAACCTGTCTTTATCTACCCTGTCGATTCCCTTGAGAATCTTGAATGTGGTGATCATGTCCCCCCAACTCTTCTGTCTTCCAACTAAGTGAGGTTTAATTCCCGTAGTCTCTCCTCGTAGCTGATACCTCTCAGCTCGAGTACTAGTCTGGTAGCAAACCTTTGAACCTTTTCCAGTTTAGTATTATGCTTGACTAGATATGGACTCCATGCTGGAGCCGCATACTCCAGGATTGGTCTGACATATGTGGTATTTAATGTTCTGAAAGATTCCTTACACAAGTTTCTAAATGCCGTTCTTGTGTTAGCCAACCTGGCATATGCCGCTGATGTTATCCTTTTGATATGAGCTTCAGGGGACAGGTCTGGCGTAATATCAACCCCCAGGTCTTTCTCTCTCTCTGACTCCTGAAGTATGTCGTGTCCCAAATGATACCTTGTATCTGGTCTCCTGCTTCCTACCCCTATCTTCATTACATTACATTTGCTTGGGTTAAACTCTAACAGCCATTTGTTCAACCATTCCTGCAACTTGTCCAGGTCTTCTTGAAGCCTCAAGCTGTCCTCCTCTGTCTTAATCCTTCTCATAATTTTGGAGTCGTCAGCAAACATTGAGAGGAACGAGTCTATACCCTCTGGGAGATC